GACTAATTGACATAATTTAAAAGAAATGTTTTAGGGGTTATGGAATAATTACCTTGTGGAGAATATAGGATGAGGATGGATGAAATAATTTTGAATTTGTTACCTATTTTGGGCACTTTTGACTTGGTTGTGGGATGATTGCCTGCTGCTCGCGCGTAGGAATCCCGATATGCCTTAAGGGTATTTTTGTCTTCTTCTATCCAAAAATCCACGTGTCGCCTTGTGATTATTTTTAGCTCCACAAATGCCCCCACACCTGTTGGACTGCTCGCAGAAAGGGGCGACAGGGGTAGAGATTTTCTTACTTTAGGAAACTTTAGATTGCTTCCTATTTTGATGTGGATTCATTCTTTAATAGGAAATTAGATCCTTCTAGGAAAGGGAAATAAATTTCTCACAAAGCCTATTTAAGTCCACCTTAAGTGGGTTATTAAAACAACTTTGAAGAGCGATTTATTCTACCCTACAAGAGAGAGAGTTTAGAGGATATTTGTTCCCCCTCATTTAGCAATCTTCTACATCTTACTCGTGCAAATGACCGTCTTTCGTTGATTTCTTCGTTTTCTCTGTGCCGCACTAATGTAAGAAAATTTTCATTTTTCTTGTCTTCTTTGTGGATAGTCTTGTTGCGGGGCAGTCGTCAGGGTGGTGTAACACGTCGGCTGGTAAGGGCCAGGAGTCGGCTTGGCATAGGCCAAAGATGTGGTTTGGCATGGGCCATTGCTTGTGTTGTTAGGCTTGATTGAAGCCAAGGATTGACTCAGCATGGGCCGAGGAAGTGGTGTGGCATGGGCAACGGTTTGGGCTGCCAAGTTTGGGATGCTTACCAAAAATGAGGAAACTGCTTGAGTTTGATTTCTCAACTGTCATAGATGGAGCAGTCAAGGATGGAGCTGCCAAGATCGGGGTTGCTGAAGATGAAGTGTCAAATGAGTGAACTGTTACGTTTAAAAGTGGCTGCTACTTCCTAACCATTTTTTTCCTCGTTGATCTTCAAGCATTCGATCTTTTGAGCTATGTGGCCTTCTTGCACTAGAGAGCTTACCCAGATGGGTGTCGGAAATTTATTTTACCCTCTCGCACTGGAGAGCAATTAGTTTACCCTCTCGCATTGGAGAGCAATTAGTTTATCCTCTCGCACTAGAGAGCAAACCCATATGGGTGTCGGGGAATTGGTTTACCCTCTCGTCACTGGAGAGCAATTAGTTTACCTTTTCGCGCTAGAGAGCAGACCTACATGGGTGTCGGGGAATTAGTTTACCCTATCACGCTGGAAAGCAATTAGTTTATCCTTTCATGCTGGAAAACACACCCTTGTAGGTATCGGGGAATTAGTTTACCCTCTTGCATTAGAGAACAATTAGTTTATCCTCTCGTTATGGAAAGCAAACCCTTTTGGGTGTCGGGGAATTAGTTTACCCTCTTGCACTGGAGAGCAATTAGTTTATCCTCTATCATTGGAGAGCAGACCCTTTTGGGTGTCGGGGAATTGGTTTACCCTTTCGCATTGGAGAGCAATTAGTTTATCCTCTCGCGCTGGAGAGTAAACCCTTTTGGGTGTCAGGGAATTGGTTTACCCTCTCGCACTGGAGAGCAATTAGTTTGTCCTCTTTCACTGGAAAGCAGACCCTTTTGGGTGTCGGGGAATTGGTTTACCCTCTCACACTAGAGAGTAATTAGTTTATCCTCTCACACTAGAGATCATGGAAATCATTATCGTGAGTGCAGCTGAGAAAAGCTAGACTGTTGGGACAACTGAAATAATCCTTAGCCTGCCCCCGGTTCTTGGTAGTTGGGCTGGTGTGTCATTCTAGTACTCGTTTACCCCCGACGTGCCATTAGGCTGAGCTGCTACATTTGTTAGAACAGAAATAGTCTTTATATCTAGCGATATATATGGGGTAGTCCTGTCTACTCGATCTTGTCATTAAAAGATGACTCGCTTATGTTGGTTATGTCTCATCGGAGTGTCTCGTCAATAGCTTCGCTGCGCAGGAAATTACGCAATCGCTAGGTCATGAGTCTTTCTATTTCTTCCTGAATTTGCCTTTGTTGGGGGTGGCAGAGCTCTCTGCTACCCCTGGTCGTAACATGCTAGTCTAAGCTATTCTTCCATGTGTTTGGCTCGTCTATGCCACCGTTGCGGTGGGTGTGGTATGTTCCTATCAGGCGAGCGGGTAACTCGCAGGCTACTGGTTGAACTTGAGTCGAATTAAGTGACTGTTTCTCTCCGTCCGCTGTGCTGCCTATTCCGATGTGAGGTGGAAGATGCTCCTTGCGGGCCTTGCCGCAAATGAACACTTCGCCTAGAAGGTTGCTCATGTTAATTATTGGAGTGTGGCCCCAACCGTGAGTGTATGTTTGTTCGTGGACCTAACTGAGAATGCACTCCGTTAAAACGCTCGGTTTATGACTGGTCGAGTGGTTGTTTGCCTAGACGCTGGTGGAGAGGTTCATCTGCCCTTGTCCTTCTTCGGGACACTTCATCCGGGACACGTTGAATCTCGGTGTGTTGCAATAGTTGATTCACCATGGTTATCTGTTGTGCAAGGGCACTCGTCAACTCTATAACTTGTCGAGACAGATGTTGTTCGCCATTTGGATTGGAAGAGCTTGGAAGAAATATGCCTCCTTAAGCAATGGAAGTGTGGTAGGCTCCAGGTACGAGATTTGAATTGGGAAATGTCAAATTTGCGGAGAAACGTGGTTAAAATGCCCCCGGCTCGATGGTTGGTCTGAATGGTTAAGATAGTCTTAGGCCGATTTGGGCTGCTTGGAATGTCGCGGAAGCAGGCTGGGCCACAGGAACAGGCTGGGCCATGGGAGCAAGCTGGGCCACGAGAGTGGACTACTCGGTGAAAGCAGGCTGGGCCATAAGAATGGGCTGCTCGGCGGGAGCAGGCTAGGCCACAGGAGCAGACGAGGCCACGGAAGCAAGCTGGGCCACAAGAATAGGCTGGGCCGCGAGAGCAGGCTGGGCCGCGGGAGTAGGCTGCTCGGCAGGAGCAGGCTGGGCCACGAGAGTAGGCTGCTCGGCGGGAGCAAGCTAGGCCACGAGAGTGGGCCACTCGATGTATGATGCATGCGGATGTGAGGCTTGGCAACGCGTTGGGCGTGGAGTGACATGGCTTGGGTTGTGAGCTGCCTTAGATGGCACGGCTCGGGCCGTGGTGGTGACACTATGCACCTCGACGCATGTGGCTACCATGGTAGCCACCGCGGTGGTTCTCGTGGTGGAAACTCGTGGTGGTGGTGCCGCTCCACCTATTGTCACATTTAGCCTCGTGGATCGCCGTGGTCCCATCTCTTGAGTGTTGAAATTTTCATTTGTTGAATTTTCTAAATTTCTAACCATTGTACTTCTCTTTTACGTTTTATCAAAGAATTTTTGCATATAAAAAATTCTAATAATAAGAACATACGAGAAATCTACAAATTGACAAGAAAATAGAAAACCTTGGATGCGAGAGTCTTTTACGAGTGTGGGACTCAACTCTCAATGAAAGCACCAATTTGTGGATGCAAATTTCCGTCTTCTCCTTCTTGGACAAAATTGCACGTACAAAACAAATCAGGCCAAAAAGCCTCACGCACCCATGATGAATGGGGGGGGCTTTGGCTGAAGAACTTTCGATGCTAAAGTTAGAATTTTGAAGGAAGAGTGTTTGGAGAATTTTGTAAAGTTTTGCAAGAGACTTGGAAGTAATTTTTTGAGAGAATGGAGAGCTATTTATAGGGATATGACTGGCCCTATTAGGAGAATAGGGACGGGCCATTTGTGGTATTTTTTTGGGTGTAATTTGTAGTTACTTAGCCATTAATAGATTAATTAGGTAATAAATCCATTAATTGACTAATTAACATAATTTAAAAGAAATGTTTTGGGGTTATGGAATAATTACCTTATGGAGAATATAGGATGAGGGTGGATGAAATAGTTTTGAATTTGTTACCTATTTTGGTCACTTTTGACTTGGTTGTGGGATGATTGCCTGCTGCTCGTGCGTAAGAATCCCGTATGCCTTAAGGGTATTTTTGTCCTCTTTTATCAAAAATTCACGTGTCGCCTTGTGATTATTTTTGGCTCCACAATCCCCATCTCCTCCGCCACGTCGATTGCAAAGTTCATACGATCATCTGTTATCAATACAACCCAAAGAAGGAGGACGGCTAATAGTAGTAGAGTCACAGGACTCGTCGTCGTAGTTGCTGCTTTTGGTTAGGGAGATAAGCAGGTCACGCAAAAGCGTCTTCGTTACGGATCTGAGTGACGAAATCATGCTGATGTGGATTAAGGGGTTACCGGTGCGTGGATCAGTGGGTGGCTGTCCGGGAGTGACCGGAAGTGGAGAGTTGGAAAGCGGGCAGAGAGGGCTTGGCGTTGGGGGATGTGGCGGTGGGGTGTTTTCCGTGCTGAGGAAGGTGACATGGATACCGGCATGGCAAAGCAGTTGTTCCGAGTTTAGCATTGGGGTGACGCGACCTTGTGCTGGGAGCGGTAACAAGAGTGTGTTTGCTCCATCTTCTTCATTGTATCTCGATCTTGATGGATGGGATATATAGTTTTCTTCTGCAAGGATTGAACAGATATGGATGCATGGCTTTTTATACGATAAAAAGGGTTGTCACGTTAATTATAAACCTTAGATTGTGTTATTATTGTAATCTTCTTTGGGGAAAGCAGTGCATTAATATTAATAATAGTAACACAATGCCAGATTTACTTTACTCACCAAATCTGTATGCATTTACTTCGTGATTTTGTAAAAATATACCTTATTTATTTGTCAATCCTTCTCACGCCCACATATTTCTGCCTTTTCATAAAAAAATTAAATGTTAAAGATCGACAATTGTGACATACTTATCGTTACTCTTTTATTGGCGACCCCACTATATATATGATTGCCAATCCTTTCTCGAGTTATAATTGAGAAGTCATTCCAACCTCATATGTGTATATATATAGACACAGTCACACAGTGCATGTACGGATGCAGATGGAGACGGAGCGATCTGAATCTGCAGCACACGTATTATTGTTGCCGTTCCCAGCACAAGGCCACATCACTCCGATGCTGAGCTTTGCGCAACTGCTAGGCCATGCTGGCATCCATGTCACCTTCCTCAATACAGAACACAACCACCGTCTCCTCACCCAACGCCATGCCCTCTCCGCCCGCTTCCCAACCCTCCACTTCGAGTCTCTACCCGATGGCCTCCCACCAGACTGCCCCCGCTCCATTCCCCCCATAATCGACATGGTCTCGTCGCTCAGGTCCGTAACCAAGCCACTTCTGCGTGATCTGCTCATAACCCTAACCAAAAAGGACGAAGAGTCGTACGGCTCCACCAGCACTCGCCGTCCTCCTTTGAGTTGCTTCATAATGGATGAGATCATGTGTTTCGCAATTGACGTGGCAGAGAAGGTCGGCGTTCCCGCCATGGCTTTCACCATCATCAGCGGTTGTGGCTACTGGTCTTACTCCTGCATTCCAAATCTCATCCAACAAGGCCACGTCCCCTTCACAGGTTACACACCCTCACTCTTCTCTCGTTTCTTTTCCAAATTTCTTTTTTACTTCAATTAAATTTTAAGAAAACTATTTTTTAATCCTTGTCTAAGATTACTTTTTGAATAAAACCTTGTCTAAGATTAAAAACTAATTTTAATCCTTGGCATTTAATTGTAATTTTTTAATATTAAATAGGTTGTAATAATAATTATTGAGTTTTTTGTTTGTAGGTTATATATTGATTCCCATAAATAATAAAAATGTTATTTATCATTGTTCCCACAATAAGAAAAGTAATATATTATCATATATTTTTCATTGTGCATGAATTTCTCCATATATATGTATATGCATATTACGTACATATGTATGTTTAGATACTATAGTTACATACCGACATATTTGTACAGATAGATTCATACCGAAACTTACGTACCGATACTTTTGTACCTATGAGTAAAATAAGGTGCCTAAAGTTATGTACTGATACATTCGTACCGAAACTTATGTACCAGTATTTCCATACCTATGAATAAAATAAGGTGCCGAAAGTTATGCATAACTTGCTTTTGTTTTGTTGTTGAATTTTTTTAATAATAATAATTTGAATTTTGAATGAATTTATATCTATTAATATAATTGAAGCACAAAAAAAAAAAAAAAAACATTAATTATGAATAGGTAAAGAATTTCGAATGGTAGGTTTATAAATAATAATAATGTCCTATAATTACTTAAATATGGTAAGTTTTAAAAATAAGGACTTATATTAGATTTTAAAAACCATTTAGGTTAAAATCTAAAAACAATCTTATTAAAATCCTAAAAATCCAAAACCCCTTAAATTTTTGCTAGAGTTGGACATCGTGATGCCACATGTCAAAACGATAAGACCATCTCCAACCCTTGGATTAAAAGCTAAAATTTTTTTGGATAAAAATTTAGGTTTTAACCCAGAAATTTGTTTTCTGCTCCAACCCTTCTGCGTTGAATTTTTAGTCTGAGATCATTAAAGAATGAATTTAGGATTCTTAAAGTAACCTTTTTTTAAATAATTATGTGACTACCCTAATTTAATTTTATGAACATTTTAACCTCAAAATATTTAGATTCCGATAAATATTGAAAAATTACTAAGCTGACACCATAAAACTCGTGGAACAGTATGAAAAAAATATGAAACACATACAACAATTTCTTTTAATTACTTTAGTTATTGAATTTAAATTTGGACCATTAGATTTTTTTTTTTTTTTTTTTTTTACTGTTGAATTTGTTCATATTAGATCTTAGCCGTTGGATTAAATGAATTTATAAATATAAACTAAAAAAATTACACATATATAATGGGCCAATCCCGCTAACCAAGGAGAATCTTGGCCTAAATTTTCCCCAGAAATGAGTTATGGGTTAAAACTCATATTTGCCCCAAGGGTTGGAGCAAGTTGGGATCGGTTTAAAACCTAAAATTTGAGTTTTACTCCAAATGTTGGGGTAGGTCTAAGGGTTTTAAGGCTACGTAACCCTAAAACAAAATCAGAATCGATAATGATATATATGTAGTGCTAGCTACATGTCTAATGAGCAATGTTACACTTATTATATTTTGTATACCACATTTGTATCACCTTTCTAATGGAGATAGAGTCCATTAATATGTAAGTGTCATCTCTATTAGAAAAGTAGTACAAATAGAAGTGATTAGAGTAACATTTTTTATATCATATGACATAATTATTATCCATTTAGTGGGATGAAGAGTTCAAACCTCCTTTATAATAGTTGTTAATCAAAATATAAAGTACTATATTGCTGCTTGACGACAAAATCTTACAATTCTTTGTTCTTTATTTTTACGATATGTCAATTGAGAGTTAGGCAAGTGAGAATCAAAGAGTGGCTACTAAAATTAGGAAGACAAATTGTCTATTTTACTTGCTTGATTTCGTCAAAGAATAAAATTTGATGAATTATCTCATTAACAAAACAAAGAAAATATATGTCGTGTCCTGCAATATTTAAAAACATTTAGATACATCAAATGGAATGAGGATCTTCTTTAGATTCTCTTTGTGAGGATTTCAAGGATTCATAAATTATGTACGTTCATTGTACATCGTGCCATCAAAAATCATTTAAAAATTTTTTTTATTTAAAATTGAATACAAATAGTACCTGACGAAAATTGACCGCATGATATACGATGAATGGATACGATTTATGGATCCTTGTTCCAATCAAATGAACTTATTTTGTTGTGACTGGTAGCATTTTTTATACCGCCAATATAAATAGGTCTCACATAAAGCGGTATACGTGGTACAATTCGTCCTAGCAATTTTTTTCCTTTTTTTTTTTTTTTCCAAATGAAGTCCATTTCATATTTTTAGCGTGAGTAGTCATGCAAAATGTACTTCTAACTTTGAAACAGATGAAGATATGGATAAGCAGACTAGCGATATTCCGGGGATGGAAGGCCTTTTACGGCGTCGAGACCTACCAGGCTTTTGCAGATTTTCAATTGACCACCCAGTTACTAAAATTTTCATGGAAGTGATCAAAGCTATTACTCGTGCTTCTGCTTTAATAATCAATACCTTCGACGGCCTCGAAGCCTCAATTCTCTCCCACATAGCCACACTTTTCCCCCAAGTTTACGCAATAGGTCCCGTCCACGCTCTTGTCAAATCTCGCGTTGGCGATGGCCTGTCATCCTCTGCCTCTTTGCGCCAAGAGGACCGTCGTTGCATGGCGTGGCTGGACTCCAAACAAGTGGGATCTGTTATATATGTTAGCTTTGGCAGCTTGGTGGAGCTGACACATGACCAATTGTTTGAATTTTGGCACGGCTTGGTCAGTTGCGGGAAACAATTTCTATGGGTGGTGCGGTCAGATATGATTTCGGGGGAGCAAGGAGAACACGTGATTCCTACGGAACTGAAGATGGGTACCAAAGAGAGGGGTCTTATAGTGGAGTGGGCCCCCCAAGAAGAGGTCCTGGCTCACAAAGCTGTTGGAGGGTTTTTAACCCAATGCGGGTGGAACTCGATCCTTGAGGGCATTTGGGCGGGAGTGCCGATGCTTTGTTGGCCTCGGCTGGCGGAGCAGCTGGTGACTAGTAGATGGATTGGTGAGGTTTGGAGGATTGGAATTGATATGAAGGACACATGTGAGAGATCCATGGTGGAGAAGATGATAAGGAGATTGATGGAAGAAGGTGATGAAAGAGAGCAAATTTTGAGGTCGGTGGAAAGATTTTCTGAGTTAGCTAGGGGTGCTGTTACTGAAGGTGGGTCTTCATACAACAACCTGGACAAACTTATTCAAGACTTGAGAAACTTCTAATGATGTATGATATATTAAAGGGAATGGCTAGGATGAAAGACTTTTATGGAACGAGTTCGATGTTATAATGCTCCAAACTACTAATATAATGTTGTGTAAGGGCTTATTTGGTATTGATGTGCTTAAAATAATATATATATATATATATATATATATATGCTTATGCTATGTTGTGAGAGTAAACCGTTGTAAAATAAAGTTGTTGAGTATTTGGTAAATTTTTTTATAAGTGTGGTTGTAACAAAAAAAAATAATGTCTGAGTGTTTGATAAACTTTGATGTAAAATTGTTGTGAATATGTTAAATGACTAAAAAAAATATATTATTTAATGTGATATAATAATTGCCAAAGAGAATAATGCAGGGGCAAAATATTGTAATTTTGCAAAATACGCAGGTGTATACATGCAATTTGAAAATTTCATTAAATGGGCATTATTCACTATGCTTGGGGAAAAAAAAAAAAACTATTATAAACATGGTAGACCTTGCTTCAACTTCACTTTCCATGCCTTTGTACTATCATTGACAAGAATTTTAAAAAAAAAAAAAACACTTTTTTTTTTCTTTTACCAAACACATTTGATATTCTAGATTTTTTTAATAAGCTATTGTTTTTAAAAGCACCATAACTCCAAACCTGCCTTAAAAGTCTTTTCATATGATTTTGTCTAAGTGTTGCTAATGCTCAAAATTTGTAGGTTAACAATCTTAACAAAATTAGCTCTTGGTAGGCTTGGAATTGAAACTGAAATGAAATGGACTTGGGATTTAAGTGGTTTACTCCTCTGCGCTGAGCTGAATCTACAAATGGAATTGAAACTGAAATGAATTGGACTCATGATTTAAGTAGTTCACCCCTCTGCGCGGGGGTTGCATCCACTATGTTGCTCAGATTATATCGATTTTAAAGGTTACAAATAGTGCTCGGCATATCATTAGACTCTACCCAAAAAAGAATTATAAGTGAGGTTACTTGAGTATTTGAGATGAGGATGGACCAACCAACTCAACCACCACCACATGTACTATTGTTTTTGTTACTGTTACAAGGCCATGTTATTCCAATGCTCATCAATAAAATAAACATTTTAGGCCCAGTATGATTCACTACCAATATAATCAATATTGTTTTAATTTAACCATCTATTATTAGATGTAGAATTTAATCATACAAGAAATCAGTTATATATAAAAAGTGAATGCCTCACATATGAAATGTATATCATTTTGTTATATTTTTGATATAAAACTTTTTCTCTAACATAAATGCACCTATTTTTTCATCTATTTATTTATTAGTAAACAAATAAATATCATACATATTCTTCACCTTGTAAAGTGAATATGCCCTGAAAACTTTCTTAAAAGTTAAAACTCCATAATTGCTATTGGGATTTTGTTATGTTGGATATGCATGGCTTTTGATAAAAGGTTGCCACATTATTATAACACAATCTAGGGTTCATAACGACTTTACAACCTTTAAATTTACATAAATCAAAGCCAGGCAGATCTTTGGACCCCGAAGATAGAATTACATTGTCAGTTAACTTAATTGAGAATTTGAGATGAACATGAAGCAACAAAATCAACCACTACACGTATTAATGTTGCCATTACTGGTAAGGCCACATCACTCAGATGCTCATCTTGGCACAGTTATTGTGCCACGCTGGCATCCACATCACCTTCCCCCCACACCAAGCACATCCATCGTCTACTCAACCAATGCTATCCCTTCTCTGCCCCCTTCCCAACCCTTCGCTTCGAGTCAATCCCTGATAGCCTCCGACGAATCATCCACGCACCATTCCCCCCATAATCGAGATTGTCTCGTCACTCAGACTCGTAACGAACCTCTTATGTGTGACCTCCTGATCCCTAACCAAAAAAGCCAACGAGTCGTACAACTTTACTTGCCTCCTTTGAATTGTATGATAACATATGGGAATATGCATTTCGTGGTTGTGTGGCAAAGGAGGTGGGGATTCTTGTGAGGGTAATGCTCGGGAGACCAAATTTTTTAATTAAATTTTGTACACCAAATGATGTAGATGTTAATGATTGGATGATTACTTAAGTATTGATTAACGTGCTTATTTTCTATCATTAACAAATCATTTGGTTTAAAATTTTGGTCTCCCTAACATTATTCTTCACGTATGCCAATCCTTAGCGTTAGTGGCTTCTGGTCTGCTTCATGCGTTCCCGACCTCATTAAGCAAGGTCAACTTCCCTTTGCAGGTGAGCTCTACCATGCATGCATCATCATGTGTCAATCAATTTGGAATCATACCATGCATACATTGTTATGTGTCGACAGGGCTAGCCCAGGTCCAGTGCAAACAGACCGCCTGTTCAGGGCCGAAAATTGGGAGGGAGCGTTCTGTTCACCATCATTTCGTCTTTCGGTCTTCGACTTGGACGCCTCGTAGCCTTGGTTCTTTAATATGTATTCCAATTCCAATAATCAAATTCCATGTTTCAAGCCTGAAGCCTTTAATTTAACTAGAGGATTATAAATCATCAGTTCTTTAAGAACAGAATGTCTTCCAGATTTTTCAGAATTATATGCTTGTACCGTTGTTCGAATTCCAGAATTTCAAAGGAATTCAAGTTCCAAATTTTCAGTTGGTCGACTCAGCCCAGTCCCCCTTTTCCTGGTTTTGCTTCCTGCTTCCAGCTTCGGAGTTCGGACCTTTGGTCGTTCCTGCTACTTCAGTGCGTCCTGCTGCCAGCAGGACAGTCGGCAATCTACTGAGGTTGATTGAGCCTCGCACTGGCCCCCTGCCACTGCCAGAAGGCCCAGACAGACCACTGAGACCATGGATCAGAAGGCCCAGATGACATTAACATCACTTACAAAGTTTCAACTTTTTAAAATATGCGTGTATGCCTATTTATGCTTATTGAACATGGATCAGAAGACAATGCTAGGTTTTAAGCTACTTTATTAGCTATTTATGCTTTTGTGTGTTTGTATTCATTAATTTGTTGATTTATTGATACCGTAACAGTAGACAGAAAGCATACCAACCCACCACCCTAAAAAGGTGGGGGAAAAAATCATACATAGAGATTCATGATGTTAAATTTATCAAAGTTGAACAATGGCAAACCCTGTTCATCATTAAACCAAGCGAGGAAAACGAAATCCACCTGCAGATTGCTTAAGTTTGTTGCAACCTACGGAAAAAACAGAATTCCTTCTTCCTTTCTAATATTTGTATATTAGTATAAAAACCCCGCCAACTATAAGTTTATGAAAGGAAAAGCCGATTACTGCTCAAAGAAAAGATTAAGATAATAGTTGGAGTAATAAGAGAAGACTAGGCAGACAAAACTGGTATAAAGTTTATCAGAACCTCAACTCTGTTATCGAAACTATGCAAAGTTATCAATACTAAAAAAATAGCATCACCAGAAGCTGAAACGAAAATCTGCTAAAGAAAATTAAACATCTGGTCAAATGAAGAATTACACATCGAAATGAAGCGTAGACAAAGTTATCAATACTGTAGCAAATGTTCAAATTAAGACTAAAACCCTAAAATTCACACTCACAACGCACAACACCATCAACATCTTAATATTCGATTTAACACTAAAACCCTAAAATTCGATTTAACACTAAGACCCCCAATTTCTAATTTAATTTTCCAAATTGAATCTAATTACAATACCAAAATCTTCAAATTAAGGCATTAAAGCTTGATTCTGACCTTAGAAAGAAGAAAAATAAATAATTAAGCTTGATTCTAACCTGGGTTGGCTGGGTGCAATCGGGAGAGGATGAGGAGGAAGGCTACGGGAAGAGAGAGACCGAGTGAGAGAGAGGGAGAGAGAGGGCGATATGAGCGAGAGGGAAGAGAAAGACTGAATGAGAGAGAAGGATGAGGATGAAGGATGAGGTCTATACTTGCTATGTTGTTGTGAGGTATCCAGTAGTGAAAATTTAAAAACAATGCCTATTTTTTACAATTGCACCGCCAAAATTATCACAAATGGCGCAATGCAGGTATTACATTTTGACGTCACACAAAGTGTTTTTGCGCAACAACCACATTGTAGCGTCGCACAAGGTTTTTTTTTAAAAAAAATTATTATAAAATTTACTAAAAATGTAACTTTACTCTCTTCAAATTCAATTTTTTTACATAAAACCCACAATAATATATTTTTCTAACAAAAACCCAACCCGAACTACAATAAATTTAAAGCTACTTAATAAATATACATACCATTCAATTTCTTAAGTGTTATACGTACAAAATAAATTAATTTAAATCTACTTAATAAATACATAGTGAAATTGATGGGATACGCATTATACGAAACTAGTTGCAACGACCCAACCGTCAAACTTGTTTGTATATATTTCGAGATCGTATACACCAAAAATTGAAAAAAAAGCAAACATTCAAAGATCAAGTGACGGGACAAAACTTTTCGACGATTATAAACAAAAAATCACGATTTAACAGTTATTTTAAATCCGATTTTGATGATTTTTTACAACTACACTCCTTTAGCCAATATGAATACAAGGAATTAATTTGATCATCAATTTAAAATATTTATACTAGTAGATACAACTAAATCTTATGCTATACTTAATGAAAGTATAAATAAACTCTTTTAAGTGTTAGTGAATGTATCGTTTTGATGAGATACGCATTATACGAAACTAGTTTCAACGATCCAACCGTCAAACTTGTTTGTATATATTTTGAGATCGTATACGCCAAAAAACGAAAAAAAACAAACATTCAAAGATCAAGTAACCGGACAAAACTTTTCGACAATTATAAACGAAAAATCACAATTTAACGGTTATTTTAACTCCGATTTTAATGATTTTTTACAACTACATTCCTTTAGCCAATATGAATACAATGAATTAATTTGATCATCAATTTAAAATATTTACACTAGTAGATGCTACAAAATCTTATGTTATACTTAATGAAAGTGTAAATAAACTCTTAAGTGTTAGT